TCGAAAAGCCATGGCTGCTTGGTTTACAGGATGCAGGCATAAGAACCATCTGCCTGGTCTGGTGTTTCTTTAATTAAAACTTTAATTACAGATATATCTGTGCACAGATACGTGCAGTCTATCAGCTCCTGTTCTTAATTACCTGCGCTAATGAGAACGGAGGGAGTGAGTGTTCGCTGAGTGCCTACTATGCACGAGCTCCCGGGCCAGTGCTGGGATTTGCGCACGAGCAGGTGGTGCCGGGTCAAGCAGCCCAGCCGAGTCCCAGGCCTCCCCACCCGTCCTCCGGCCACCGTTACGAGAGAAGCAGAACAGTCACTCGGGCTTCTCCTTGGGAAAAGGAAAGGCAAACAGGGGCAAAGTATTTAAAGGGATCAGAACAGACAAGGGCAAAAAACTGGACAGGCGAACCCGACTCACCGCAGGGCTGAGGCGGGAGTACGTGCTATCTGTCACTACGCGGTGCACTGGTGACCCCGGGTGAAGATGCGTGTGGCAAGTGGTAAGTCTGGTCTAAACCCTACGGTTCTGAAGCATGTCACACAGAGCCCCGCCGGGGGCCCGTGTCCCGGGGTAAACCAGAAGCCCAGACGAGACCAAACAGGAGAGGTTTCTCGTGACTTCCTGACGGTGCAGCCGCACCTGCCGCCTCTCCTTCGCTAAGCCCTCTCTGGCTACGGCCGACGGCCACTGACGAGTGGCAGGGACATCTCATCCTCGCCCCTCACGTTTCCCGGCCTCCTCGATGCCTGGAGAAGGGCTAACCTCCACCTGAACGGCTCCTTGGCAGCCGGGGGGGGGACCATGAGGCCCTCTGCTCGCCCTCACAGCACTCCCCCTGCAGAATTTGTGCACGTCCAGCTCTAGAAACTATGCAGCGAGCACACTAAAAGCCTGATACCAGTGCCTCGACAACAGTCAAGTTGTGCCTACTGCCCCACATTCTGTCCTACTTGCCCCACCCCCTGTCTCACTCAGTGAACCACAGACAAAAGCTGACCATGTTCAGGCTAATGAAGGGTAGTGCCTACTCCTTGGAAAGAACGGTGTGAAGACAAATTAAGGAATGTCGATGTGAACACCTACTTTGTGCTACGCCCCCTGGAGGATTTCCAGTGCTTTGCAATTCTGATGACAGACACACCCAGACGGAGAGAAAGAGAAAAAGCTGAAGGACAGGAGGAGGAGGAGTTGGGAGCCAGAGGAAAGGATGGGAAAATAAAGATACAAGACGGGAGAAGAAAGAGAAGTGAGAGAGGAAGAAGGTGGAGCCCCCTAACTGCATTTGGTTCTGTGATTAACTTCAAATCTGGTTTTGAGGATGGTCAGACGCCCACTTCCAGAAAACTATAGCCTGCGGAGTGGACGGCCGGGACTTTTCCCACAGACAGGGGGCTGATTATAGGTGGCTGAATTTCTAAACTGGCCCACAAAGGCCCATTTAACTTAAAACATAGCTAACTATAGAATTAATAGCACTGGCCCATGTTCTTGGAAGCACAGGTCCACAGGCACACAAATTATTTACATTATTTTCTGTCTAGAACATAAACTTCCTAGATTGCTGAGCCCGGCAATCGATGGCTCTCGGCGAGCACAGCCGGATCAGAGGCTGGGACACGGCCAGGGCTCCACACTTTAAAGCTGTACAAGTGACCCTGCGTGTGCAGCCAAGATGGGACGGAAGCCACGGCTACGGAGCCCTGCGAGGACCACACGCAGGATGGAGGCTTCCCGGCAACGGTGGGGACAGGTCACCGGAGGCCTTAGTCAGGGCGGCTGGTGGTTGAGGGACACTAATGCACACAGCCGAGTCCCCTGTGGCCAGAACTATTTCTGGTCAGGGTGCAGCCACGTTTGCCAGGAAAGCTAAGGAAGCAGGTGCCAGGAGGACAGCGCCTGGATTTAAGTCTCCATGGCGTGATTTCCAGGGAGCACGAGTCGTGAAGGCGGACCCCCCCGCCAGAGCACCAGCGTTCTCCTGTGCGAAACGGTGAACACACCAGCCACCTCAGAAAAATTTAGATAACTGAAATGTATGGAAAGGACCTAGAAAAATATGTGACCCTCCTCCCCCAAACAGTGACTTCCTTCCACTTTTTCGACTGAGGAAGAAGCACTGACACCTCATATAATTTCCAGACTTCTTGGGAGCCCGCTGGGCAGCTTGTGGAAGCTGAGAGAGAACGAGCATGGGCCCAGCTAAGTGAAAGACGAGGTGTCTCTCCCAGGGGTCTCTTCTCTCGTATCTCCATAGCCAAAAACCGCTAACACAAAAGGACCTATCAACAAAGGGTTACATGCTCTTAATCATCTAAACTTCTCTTCCTAAAAGGTCAGGGGCCCAGATTTACCTTTATGCACCTGACCCGGCACCTGCTCTGGAGGCGCCTCATAACCCGAAGCGCCGCCCTGGCTCCCCTCCCCGGGAGCACTCCCGGCTCTCAGACGCTGTCAGAAGACGGCCAGGGGAGCTCCCTGCAGCTTCTCCTGCAAACTGTGTGCTCCCCTCAGAATTCTGTGTCACTGAAACCCCATCCTGGCACGCAGGACCAGGCCTGGACGTCACAGCCACTGCCGTCCTGCCTGCCACCCCTGCTGTAAGTACTGTGCAGACATCGACTCCCCAGAGGGGCAGCACGACCCTCCGAGGAGGTAGCTATTCTTCTCATCTCCATTTCAAAGAGGAGGAAACTGAGGCACAGAGAGGTCAAACCGCTTGTAAGGGACCAAGGTGGGAAGTGGCAGTGGACCCGAGGCACGCCCCAGCGCCAGTGCTCCAGGCCACTCAGCACACAATTCTCACACACACACTCACACACACACACACACACACACACCCGCCTCAGCACGACGATTGCTGCGACCAGCAGGACAGCCATAGGACAGCCGCAGGATGAAGTCTAAATTCAAAGCACCTTCCTCCCAGGTTCCCATGCGGCCAGCATACAGCATTTCATTTATCCTGCCAACAACCCTAAATAAAAAGCAAGCAGGAGACATAACAACATCTACATTTCACATTAAGAGGAAACTAAAGTAGAATCCACGTAATGTTTCAGAAACTCCCATACCGTTAAGCTGAGCAACTGATTTCACTGTTTTTAAAAACATCACATCAAAGTCTTTGAAGTCTTTCTATTCGAGTTCTTTAGTTTTGTAGAACTACCTTAAAAGATACAAATGGCCCATCCAGATACCCGGCTAGTCAAAAACAGGGTTTTCTGACATCCAGACTAGTTTTCTCTGAATCATGCTTAAAAAATGATATCCGTGTGGCTTACTACTAGAATTCCTAAACACTAAGCAAATAAGCAATGCTTATTAAAAATAAATCATAAATGTCCATACGCTGACTCTCTTTGAAAAATTAAGTTATCTTAAAATGCATTAAGCAGAAACTTTAAAGAAAATCTAATTGACCTAACTGCAAAATAAAATATCGCAATAAAAACATTTCTCTTGTGCACCTATTTACGACTCTGCAGCTCCTACCGGACTTATGAATAAAGTATCTGACTGTGTCTAGGACACATGGCAGCCTACGGGGAAGATGTCAAGAGGCCCTGATTCTGTCAACAGGGAGCATGGGCCCCTCTGGGGACCAGCAGCCCGCTCCCCTCAGGGGCTGGGTGCTGCACGCCCTGCGAGTCTCTGCGTGCGAAGCTCAGGCGTGCGAAGCTCAGGCCGGGCACAATTGCTGCACGCTGCGGGAAGGATATCGCATCAGAGGAACAAGGAACGGGTGGGATCTGGAAAACATTCCTACACAGCTCTGAAAGCATTCTCATTTAAAAACAACAGCAGCAGCAGCAGCAACAGTAACACCTTAAAATGCACGGCGACCAATCAGTTGCTCACAACTACTGGGACATTCATTCCATGTACTTCCTGGCTTTGTAATCACAAGATTTGTATTTCTGAGCTCTGGTATTTTGCAATTCTGTGAGAAGACAGCCAAGGTCACGGGCAGTTTTGCAGGGATGTAAGTATAACAGACAAAAACAAGCCAGGAAGCCTGAAGACGTGTTCATGAGAGTTCCAATCTCCAATGAACAGCTCACTACAACTAATTGTAATTTGTGGTTCTAATGAATGACATAAACTTTTATAGGTATCAACAAAGCTCAGAGAGGACTTAAATCCATTTCGGTGTTCATTTAGCAGCTTCAGCTGTGTGCAATTAAAGCATCAGCATTAAATGTTAGAGAATAAAATAATGAGACACTTAAAAAATAATCTGTGCTTCAGCAGGCCAGGCTAAGAAATTTCACATGATTGTGGTTGGATTTTTTTTGTTTTTTTTTTAGGAACATGATTTCTTAGGAATATCCTGCCAGTTCAAAGAATTAACTCAAGTTTTGATTTTTATTTTTAGACTTTGGTTTGTTTTGCTTCTTTCTGAGTAAGAATTTTCTGAAAAACAGAATACAGTTATAAAAATGTCTCAACAAGTCACCAAATAGCGTATGCCAGCGAGCAGTCAGGTATACCGAGCAGGGCAGCCGAGCACCCAGGCTCCAACAGAGACAAAAAGACATTTCTGATCACGTGAAAAATGTTGCCTGTTCTCAACATATGCCTCAAATAACGAAATCAATATTAAAGGAGGGGAAAGGCACATTTTGGGGAAAAGACGACTTTCTTATCTTCTAAGCCCATACGTGGAACTAAGGGGCTCAGCTTCCTGTCCCAATAATCCTTGAGAATATGAAATGTAATCTGAGGTCATCGAACGTGGCAACTGAGACTAGTTAATTCAAGTTGCCACTATTTCTGAAAGAGTGAGGAGGTGATCTGCAAAGGATGGGGTGTGTGCTGATGGGGAAGGGGTGTATGTGCAACGAGGGGGTGGCGGCTGGCTGCTGTGTATGTGAGTTATGCGCGATCACCAAGTTAATTTAGCTATTGCAGAACATGAATAGAAAAGGAGATAATATTGTATGGGGAAATGCACTCACTAAACTTAAATTTTAAAAGGATGAAAACACAGATTACACTTTATTTTAAAAACTGAAATGAATTTTAATACAGAAAATGAAGACAGCATTTTGCAAATTTATCGCTCAAAGGGGTATCTCTATTTGAGGAAATCAGCGTGTTACACTTTGAGAGATGAAATGTTACAGCTTGTACACCAAAATTAAAAAATGAAATTAAATTAAAAAATGAAATGGTTACCAAGGTAATGCAGGTCAGGGGATCAAAGGTGAAGGGTCACACATTATTAAAAAGAAATCCAAAAGCACGGCTGCATCATGATCTCTGCAAAACAAAGGAGCTCTAGTAAGTAAAACTAATATCTCCGAGAATTCAAAATCAAGTTCTTGAAAAGAAGACTCCCCTGAAATTGAACACAAGTCATTCCTGATTCCGTGCAGAGCCATTTTTATTTAGGCACAAAACCAAATTTCAATTACCTGTTACCAACAAAATTTTTTGCAGAAATTTAACCATATAACATATTAAAACCCAAAACCTCTCCAATTGTAAGTGACTGTGAAATACTGACATTTCCACTGGACCCCACACCCTGTTTTCTGGAAATGACACTGTTTGAGAAGTTGCCAATATATCAGAAATCTAATTTGGTCACGGTGTGGTGAGTTGTTGTCTTTTTTTTTTTTTTTCTCCCTCTCCTCAAGGAATGAGTTCCAAAATTGAGTTTTTACAAATTTGTTTCATTTGAAGTAGCTGCATAAAATTTCCATTATTGGAACATTTAGTATAACAATGTTCTAGAAGATAGCAATAAAGTGGTACATGATAAAATAAACTATGTAACTCCATCTATTAAGATCCTTTCTCACATTCAACTCTCACTGCACCGAAGGGGGAAAAAAGACATTTTAGGCAAAATAACTTGCTAGTTCTAATGGAATTACACCGAATTAACAGAAGCTTGACAAGAGGAATACCTGACCATGAAAAAAAGTACCTGACAAGTGAGGCTTCAATTTTTTGTTATTATATACTCATCTTCCTCATTAACAAATTAGAACAGTTGGCTTTAAAAAGGACAGAAGCAGCTAAGGTTCTGTTTTGCAACACGCAGCTACCACCCAGATCGCCACAAACCTCCTTCACAGCAACAGCAGGCATGACAATTAACAGTCCCAGCAAGTAATTCCCATATTCCTCTCACTACAGAAGGAAGTGAACACGATCGTGATACAAGAGTCTTCGCCTGCTCTCTAACAGGGAGCACTCCCTAATCTCAGGACCCACAGTCCACAGCACTTTCCTGGACAGCAGGCTCCATCGGGCGGGTGTTGCTACCAGCGGCTCCAGGGCACGAGGGTAAATGACAGGCTCCATGGGGAGCCACAGACGCCCTAATTTAAGCTCCGCTCTTCCTCCAGGCCCCTAGCTGCACTGCATCCCACAGTATTTGACATCCGAGTTTACCTTGTTCAAATCAAATTCCAAAGATACTCACATATTAAAATAGAGACAACTGCCCGAAAGGATCTTATTAAAAGGAATGGCATATCTTTCTGATGGCTGAGAGCAATCAATAAATAAACAAACTCCATACACATCAGATTTCTGTTCCCCCGATTAGATTCTGTTACAAAGGACGTGCAGAGAGCTGCATGCACCAGGTATCAGTGTGTTAGTGCCTTAAGGCCACGATTCTAAAAACAGGATTTTTTTAAGTTCCATAGCTACTGAAAAGTAAACTAGCATTTCATTTCTCTGGAATGCTCATCTCACGGAAAGTCTGTCACATACGTATTTGTTGCTGGGAGGCATGCAGGCGGCTGGGAGCACCACAGCAGGAATCAATAGCGCATCACACACAGGCCGTGTTGGTCTAGGGGCTGGTGCTCAGGTCTGCGGGAGAAGGCGACAAGCCAGTGGTGTCAGGTTTGTTTTACTAAAAGATCTCCTATTAAAATGGCCAAAAACAGTGGGGCACCTGGGTGGCTCAGTCGGTTAAGTGTCCGACTTCAGCTCAGGCCATGATCTCTCAGTTTGTGAGTTCAAGCCCTGCGTGCTGACACTGCGGAGCCTGCTTGGGATTTTCTCTCTCTCTCTCTGCCTCTCTCTTGCTCGCTCCCTCTCTCAAAATGAATAAACTTAAAAAATAAATAAAATGAGGCGCCTGGGTGGCTCAGTCGGTTAAGCGTCCGACTTCGGCTCAGGTCATGATCTCATGGTTCATGGGTTTAAGCCCCGTGTCGGGCTCTGTGCTGACAGCTCAGAGCCTGGAGCCTGCTTCTGATTCTGTATCTCCCTCTCTCTCTGACCCTCCCCTGCTCACGCTGTCTCTCTCTCTCTCAGAAATAAAAAACATTTAAAAATTTTCTTTTAATTTAAAAAAACAAGAAATGGAATCCTTATAGAGATTTTTTTTCTAAAGTCTTCTAAGTCACTTCTAAAATTCACCACCTCACAAAAACATGTTAGGTCAAATTTTCTACCAGTTTAAGCCTTGCCGGAAGCAGCAGGGACACCGACCCCTGTCAACAGTACAGAAGCCCCGTAGCCAGGGACTGCTCTCAGGACGACCAAGCATTTTCCCACAGATCATTCCATGAAAATGATCACAGCCTAAGCAACAAACACAAACAGAACGCTCCCCGGCGAAATACTCACAAGCTCTAACAAACAAGTGGCTCTGAATAAATCTGTGCAATAACACTTCAGGTAATTCAAGAAAATCTATGAAGGACTTTAGCCAATGTTTTTCAAATGATTTTAATGGGGGTGGAGGAAAGGAAAGGCCACCAGGAGTCAGTACCTCCCTAATACTCAAGGGTCCTGGAACACAATGTAATGCGTAAAAGGGGGGCTGGGCTGAGGGGCAGGGCACAGCTGGGGACACACATCGTCACCAGAGCCCCTTCACTGAGGCAGGAACTTGGAACATACACGCATGTTCCCAAAGAAGCAACCTGGCAGTTGTCTGCTTGACCTGAAATCTGTTGAAGTGACAGGCTGGCTCAGAATTTTAGAAACTATGGGGCCTAAGTAGCTTTTTATTTTTATGTCCAGAGGACTGGCCCACACTGAAACTTGATGGATATAAAAGATTTTCCTAGCCCCCTTCCTGGGCCCCAGACAGAGTGGCTCAGGGACCAGATTACTATCTTCCAATCTCCTCCAGGAGCCCGCCTTTCTTCCCTGAGGCTGAGGACTGGCTGACGACAGATGGACTGAATTTATAAATACCGCTGCACACAGAAACTAAGGGGCTTCTTCAACCCACAACAAATCTCTCATTGCAGGACTGGCATGTTTACATCAAGGAGTACACAGAGGGCCCAGCTACTTCAAGAGAGTCCCCTTCCAAAATGATGACCAGTAACTGAATTAAACAAGAAATGTTCAAAATCCTACTACCTCCTAAAACTTGAGGGGGCATAACTAACATGCACCCTATCCTCGATAGAAACTGGGGCACCTGGGAGGCTCAGTCAGTCAAGCGTCCAACTTCGGCTCAGGTCATGACCTCAAGGCTAGGGAGTTCGAGCCCCGCATCGGGCTCTGTGCTGACAGCTCAGAGCCTGGAACCTGCTTCGGATTCCGCCATCTCCTTCTCTCTCTGCCCCTCCTCCACTCGCTCTCTCTTTCTTGCTCAAAAATAAAAAAAAATATTTTTAAAAAAGGACACCTCTAAACCAGAAAGCTCTGCTGCCACAGTGCAGGGTAATAACATCACAGAAATAAACAACCAAGCTTCACTTTCATAAGACCATGAGGTCATCAGAGTTCTCGTGAAAAATACTTTTGCAAGGAAACCCTCACCCATATTAAGCTCTCAGTGTCTGGACCACTTTTTATAGGGACATGTTTTCCAACACATTCAATTTGTATTCTAGTTAATTTTTATTTATTTATTTTTGCCAAAGACCAGCCAGTGTTTATAGGCACAGAGAATCGGCTCATTTCTCAACTAAATAGACACAGGACAAAGAACACCATTTCTAATGACGTTAACTCGTAACACAAATGCTGCTATTTTCACCTCACGCATATTACTTACAAAACAAAACACACGGAAGAGCCAACAAGAAATGAAAAATAAAGAGCAGGAAAAATGCAGAGTCAGAAGGCTAGGGGACAGCTGGGAACAAACATCACAGTGGACCCCTACCTTACCCTTCTTTACAAATGTCTAGTAACTCAACAGTATGATGCTTCCTCCAACAGAATCTAACCTCACCAAGTATGTTCAGAGATGAAAACGAGAAATGTCCAGCCAAGAGTTTATTACAGCGTAAGCCAAAAAAACACAAACAAAAACAAAAAACAAATCTTTACCTATCAACACAAATAAATAAATCACCAACATACCATTCAATAAAACAGACTCAAATAAAATGCACTTGAGCTAAATATACGTTTCAGTTAAGTGGGGATTATACTCCTATTGCCTTTTGTTTGTTAGAGAGTGTTTGTTAGAAACACCACCTACTGAGAAACTGAGAGAATAAAAAGCATCTGGTCCTCTGTGCCTTTCGGACAACAGTCACCATCTCTACCATTTCGTCAACTTTTCTGGAAATACAGCTCTGCCAAGCTTCTCAAAGATGGTCTGACCGAAGAGATGTCTGTGTCTTTTTCTCAAAACTTTCTATCAGTGACCGAGCAACTAATACCTACGATCATCACAGGACTTCCACTAGTCCTCGGAAAAGAAAAAAGCCAAAACTACAGGTTAAATACCTTTCTACCTATGATTTTGTCCTCAACAATGTCCTTTTTCCCCCTAACAGCCTCAAAGGTTTCAGGAAAGAATGAAGAGTGTGGGAGGAAGGGACAGCAAAGAGCCCCCAGGAACTGTCCAGAGTGATGAATGCGCTCATTACGGCGGAGCAGGGCGTGCGGTGTGTGCACATGCACACTCCTCACTGCACACTTTAGGACGCGCCACTTATGACATGCCAATTAAACCTCCTAAAAGCTACTTAAGAATGAGGGGGCATGCAAGACAGAGACTCTGCCCTCCCCTACACCCTTTGAGCCACACGGCCACGCTGTGGCCCCCGTGCAGAGAAGCCCGTGAGTCAAGGAGGAGAGTGGGGGAGCCGCTTTTGCTGAGCCACTGAGCCCCAACTCTAGAGCCGCATTTTCTAAATGGAAGTTCAGAGCACTCTGACATAATTTCTCTGAAATGATGAAGTCAGCTTTAGACATACTCCTAGCTTTGCAAAGGACATGTAAATTCACCAAATATTCTCACATTTCTTTCTGCAGATTTGAAAATTATATTATGTCAACTTGTCAGAGTGAAGACCCATTCCTTTCCGATGCTA